ACATGAGGAAGAACTTCTTCCCTCTGAGGGTGACGGAGCCCTGGAACAGGCTGCCCAGGGAGGTTGTGGAGTCTCCTTCTCTGGAAATATTCAAGACGCGCCGGGACAAGGTCCTGTGCAGCCTGCTGTAGGTGACCCTGCTTGGGCAGGAGGGTTGGACTAGATGACCCACAGAGGTCCCTTCCAACCCTGACCATTCTGTGTGATTCTGTGTGGAAGCGCTGAGCCCCTGGTGAGATGTGAAAGCCTTTCCCGGGCATGGGGGTTCCCACGGCCGAGATGCTGCAGCCCTGCCGTGTTAGGGAGCGAGACAGGGACGTGTCTGCGAAGGGCACGGAGGAGTAAATGCTGCCTTTGGAGGCAGGTGAGCGGGGCATCGGCTGCGGGACAGCACAACCCTGGCCCAGCTGTGCAGCCCCAGAGCAGGTCCCCCATAGAGCATCACCATCTAACGCCGTAGAAACTGTCTGGGAAAAATGTACTTCTGATCCGTCGCCTCTTGCCTAGAGCTGAATTTTGGGCACATATAAGCATTATAAATAGGAGACTAGGGTTTGAACATGGACAAATGTGAACGCAGTGAGCTCAGAGTGATTTTAATGGATAATTGCAGGTTCTCAATCGGCAGTATTTATACAACCTTTCCAGTTAAACACCCCACAGTTTCCACGCAGAGTATGCTCTCCTGGAGGATTTGTTTGACCTTCAGCACCGTTTTTATCTGCAGGATATAATTACAGTGAAGCTAGAAATACTAAGCATGTGAAGAGGGCTGTGTATCTACGCTTAACTGGCTCCCTCTCCTCTCACGTGGGAACGTAACGGCGCAGGAGCAGGGGAACGGGCAGAGCAATCCCACCTGTCCTGAAAACGCTGGGGCTGCAATTCGGGCAGGCACACACGATCGACAGGACAGGACCGGTGCGTGTGCCTTGCCTTGGGCTCCTTGAGGTCTACAAAACTAAAGCCTGTGCTTAAGCCGCTGCCTGCACCGCGTCCTGAATCCCCCAGTCTGGTGGAGTCCCGTAGCAGGGACAGTCAGAAACAAAATGGCTTCACGCTCAGTTTGACTGCCTGATGGCCAGGGGTGCTTCTGGCCTAGAAATAATTCCCAGGAAACACTGGAGCAGAGTGTAGTGTTATTCTCACTGCCAGGAGCGTGTCCTCCATGAAAACATGTCAGGGCGAGGAGTTGGGGAGTAACTGTCCCATGGGTGGGGTGTGGCTGGTGGTCAGGAGCCTGTGACCTTGCGTAGCAGGGGGAGAGTTTTTCTGCCCTCCCTGTCTTTGGATTAAGAGCTGGTAAAAGGCAAGATGTTCCACCAGGCTGGCGTATGTGACGCCTTGAATTTCGTCATA